CATTAAGCTGTCTTTATATCAACCCGTGAGTCCTCTCAGTTTTGCCCTTCCAGTTCTCCTCCCCATCCTGCTGAGAGGGAGTGAGTGAGCACTAAACCACAGCAGGAGGGACATACAAAATGAGGGGGTGTGTTGGAATCACAGTCCACCACAGCAGAGCCACTGCATGGGCTGACTCAAGCGAGGCAGACTAACAGTTTCTAAATAAAAGCTGAATTTTCGGTTTATGCTGGTAGTCTGCTGTGCCAGGGCATTTGTGTACGGTGCCATGATTCCCCTGACACCGTCAGGACCGATCAGCCACATGTAGCTCCTGGTGGAAGTTAAAGCTGTGCACTGCTCTCCGCCAGCAGAACATGGGGAGTCCTGGCTGCAGGAGCAGCTGTAAGCTTCTCTGGGATAGCCAAAATGGTTTTACTGACTTCAGAAGCATTCCTGTCATGCAAAACGGGACTTTCCTTGCCTGCTGTAGTAGGAAGACATGCAACCTTCTACTAATGTCTGGGGATGCATGGCAGCGGCTCTGTATCACCACATACTAGGTATATCCATTTCCAGTACACAGCAGCTTAAGCCAATTATCTCTCTGATGTCTGAAACACTAATATTATGAAGAATTATCATAAGATCATAGAATGGTTAGGGTTGGAAGGGACCTCAAAGATCATCTAGTTCCAACCCCCCTGCCCCGGGCAGGGACACCTCCCACCAGAGCAGGTTGCTCAAAGCCCCATCCAGCCTGGCCTTGAACACTTCCAGGGATGGGGCCTCCACAGCTTCTCTGGGCAACCTGTTCCTGTGCCTCACCACCCTCACACTGAAGAATTTCTTCCCAATATCTAAATCTCTCTTTAATCCTGCCTGATTCTTGGCCTGTCATGCTTCGTTGCTGGGTCCAACCTCCTGACTTGCCAGGCTGCTATCTGCTGTGTCACTGGTTCTTCTCTTTAGAGTTTCTAGCTTGCATTTGTGTAGGAGATCATGTACTCAACAGGTACATATCATCTAAGCCTTAATTTTCTCAAGTGCTCCAGTCACTGACACATGTCTGTTATAGCAGCAGCAGGGACATTTGCCATGCTTTGAGTAAGAGACTGTTTATCATAATTTGGTGTTTCACTCTTGCATAAGCAAGAACATTGTTTCCTGTAATATACCCAGTACCATCAGATGGGAGGTACAGTATCAGCCATGGTGAGAAATACATAGCTCCATCCTGTCTTGTTAACTAAAAGACAGCTGTGGGAATCACAGCATATAATTTCACCCTAAGGAAAAGGAGGAATGTTGATTAATTGGAAAGATGAAACACATCACAAGAATTCAGTAAAATCTTTATTTTAATAAAGAACCTGATGAAACAAGATCTTTAATTTCCTTATAGGGCCTGCTGATTGATTTATGAGCTGCCTAATTGAAAACTGTAACTGACCTCCATGACCGTATGCTGTCATTTCTTGGTACATCTGCTTATATGCTGGAGGATTTCAGGCTCTACGAGATTTGGTTTTCGCTCTGAGAAAGCTGTAGATCCCTTTTCTCTGATCGGTTAGTTTAAAGCAAAGTTTGTACTAGGCAAAGCTGAATTTTTATTGTGGGTTGGTTTTTTTTTTTTTTTTTTTGCTACTCCAGTTGAATAAGGCTGAACAGGTTTCTGCACATGTTTAAGCAGGCTTTAGACCAGCGTTCCTGGGGAATGTGGGCATACGCACACATATGTGCACCTCTGACTGCTTTTCCTGTATTCTAACTGCGTTTCTTTCACCTTTACTGTTCCTCATTATTCAGGTGAAGAAATTCCTGAGTCCTCCAGCAGAGTGAGCCTTTCACCCTCAGATGCAAGCCCGGTGCCTGCAGAAGGAGTGTGCAGGAGAGCCTTCAGTCCTTTGCGGAAACGGTCTAAAAGTGACCCTGCACTGCACAGCCATTTGCTTCAAGGTGAATTGATTTTTCTTTGTCAGTGCTTATCGAATGAGTCCTTAAAAGAACATTTGTCAGAAGGTTAGTACCTTGAACCTAGTACCTGCAGAAATCAGCCGCTGTCTCCCGACAGAGTACCCACATTAGAGCAAACAGTTCGTGCTTTGCCAAATCTTCTCCCCCCCGATACTTTGGTCTTGCTGCATTTCAGTCTTTTCTGTCTTGAAAAAGGGTCCATATCAGACATTGCTGGTTCCAGGAGGAGGGAGAGGTGGTGGAAGACAAGGAGGAGGGACCACATAAGATTTCTTTGTGTATTCGTACTCTGGCATCTAAAAGCTTGCAAGGGCAGTTGTCAGTGTGAGCAATTTAAAGCAAAATTAGATTGAGTATTTGATATTAGCCTATAACTTTACACCCCTATTCTACCTCCTTATAGCATCAAAAACCCCAAAAACTCAATACAAAAAAAACCCAGAGTGGAGAGCTGAAGTCTGTCGAGCTACTTTGATGTCAGTGATCTAATTCAGTTGCTATGGGAAAAGTGCTAGTGTGGCTGCAGAGTCCTTGATTCTGTTGACTGTCTTAAAAATTCACTAGTTGAGAGTCTTGCCTTTTTTATTAAAGCATATAGTATATAGTAGCTGCTGATACCTAATAGCACTCAACAAAATGTAAGAGGAGAGGGGGCATGTTAGTAACAACCATTTATTTTGAATAAAGGGAGCCTGTCAGTCTGCATTACGCTTACTATTTTGTGGAATGTTTTTATGTCTCTGCTACATCATGTGTTTTCTCTTGTCCTCCTACCAATCTGCACCACAGCGCCCTGGAAAATCTGCTGCTGAGGCAATAGTTACATGACACAGAACCTACTTGTAGCTGTGAAAGTGTAGCAGAGCGTTTCTGCTGTAGACTCCATCAGTCAGAAGCGTTTGAGTGCTCTAGGCTGGATGTAGCTGAGGTTGGGTCTGCTCAGAACTACACCTGAGAGTTAAATGCATGAGAGTGCTGCAGAAAGAGGGCTCGGCTGCAGCAGAACAGCAGAAGTTGCATCAAGTTGGAGAGGGACTCTTTGTCAGGAAGTGTAGTGATAGCACAAGGGATAATGGTTCTAAAATGAAAGAGGGGAGATTTAGATTAGGTATCAGGACAAAATTCTTTGCTGTGAGGGTGGTGAGGCACAGGAACAGGTTGCCCAGAGCAGTTGTGGATGCCCCATCCCTGGAAGTGTTCAAGGCCAGGCTGGATGGGGCTTTGAGCAACCTGCTCTAGTGGGAGGTGTCCCTGCCCGGGGCAGGGGGGTTGGAACTCCATGATCCTTAAGGTCCCCTCCAACCCTAACCATTCTGTGCTTCTAATTAGGTAGTGCTCTTCTTGCTGGAAGGTTTTGGCTCTCCTCCTGGTATTGTGTTTGGCATAAAGCCAGCATGAAAGTGCTTCTTGAACAACCTGTAGGTGCTGTTATTTATTTATTTATTCATTTATTAGCAGGGCCAAAAAGTGATGATTGTTATTTAGGCCAAAAGCAGTGGAATTGGTTCCCTGCTGCCCCTTTTTTAGTCCTTGCAAGGTAATTTTGAATGGTTTGTTGGTTTGGTTGGTTGGTTGGTTGGTTGGGATTCACTTCATTTAATTTCCAGTTTGTATTATTACTAGCTTTCTACTTGACAAGCAATTATTTTCTACTATTTTGTGACCAGCTGAAGGTTACAAAAAGTTTAGGAGAGCTCACAAAAGCCATCAAGCTTTGCTTAGCCAGCCTTGTACAGCTGGTTGGTTGGTTGGTTGGTTGGGATTCACTTCATTTAATTTCCAGTTTGTATTATTACTAGCTTTCTACTTGACAAGCAATTATTTTCTACTATTTTGTGACCAGCTGAAGGTTACAAAAAGTTTAGGAGAGCTCACAAAAGCCATCAAGCTTTGCTTAGCCAGCCTTGTACAGCTGTGTGTTGACATTGAACACTCCATGCTCATTTTGGGTCTGTTCAGAACAGAAGCAAAAAAGAGAGGAACCGATGTACACTAAATGGCAAACAGCCTTCCCAGAAACGTCCTGCCAGACCCTTTGGCATGGGATACCTGCTCTGCCATAGCTCTGTGCTGCTTTGTGTTACAGCCAAATCCAATGCAGTGCCATCCCTGCGAGCCACCCTGGCCGTGCCAGGCTGTCAGGTCTTACAGGGTTAAACTCTGCCACGTCAGGGCTGGAATCTCAGGGGGTGCTTGTTGAACAGTCCTGTGAACCCAGTGGATCGTTTGCTTTGCTTGGTCTTTGTCTTCAGGGGCCGTGCTCAGCTGTGAAGCTGCAACGCAGACTGAGGTGAGCCCACAGCTCTGCGCCGTCACCTTGCGGAAGAACGGGAGGGCAAGAGCTTTGAGGGGAAGACCCCGGTCTTTGATAGACTACAAGTCTTACACAGACACCAGACGGCTCGTGGCGTGGATCCTGGAGCAGTCCTCCTGCAGCATGAGCCCTGACGTACACGAACTGGTGGAAAGCATCAAGTCTGTTTTAAAATCAGACGAGAAACACATGGCGGAAGCCATCACCAGTGCCACCTTCCTTGAGCAGGTAGTTTTATTGCTTGTGTTGATCAGGTCATGTGGAAACCCAGGCTGGCCTTGGTGTGGGAGTGTAGGTTTGCATTTGCCACTCTGCTCTGCGTATCAAAGTTTCTGGACCCAAATAACTTCTTTTAGTACATTGGTTTTATTTGGAGAGCGTGCGAGAGGCTGTGTAGCTGTGATGTCTCTTGCTCTGTCAACCACACAGCCAGGAAGGTTTTCAGAAGGATGAATATATGTGTCTTTAAAAGCTGAAGGAGGTGGTCTTCTGCAGCAGAATCATGAACTGTAAATAACATGACAGTGTTTCATACTGAGCATGGCAGGGGAGAGGGAAGAGATTTATAAAGCATTTGCATATAAAGTGGAAGGAATAAAGGCTGACAAGAAGAAACTTTTTGTAATTGGTTCCCGTGATAAAAATAAGACCTAGTACTAAAGGGAAAAAAAAAAAAAGGAGAAAGTAGAAAATATGTGCTTACATTAATGGAATGAATATTCAGAAGTTTCAGACATAATAGATTTAATTGAACAAATGTTTTGGTAGCTTACAGACCATTTGGATAGATGAGTTGATTCATGCACGGTACAAGTGATTTGCTATGACTGCTGGTTTTGGTTTGAGTTTGCTCACACAAAACACATCAAAGATTTTAATTAGGCTCTGTAGATAAAGTGAGATTTCCCACTCCAGCCTAGAGGCAACTAAAGCCTCAACAAATCTGACAGAAAGAGATGAAAAAAAAAAAATTCCTTATGAGAATTTAATTTTTCATACTGGCCTGAAGCTTATTACAGTCTAGTGGCTTCTGCAGGAAGCAATATCTAGATTCCTGTTAAGCCATACCTGACAGGCCATGGTTTGGGGTAAGCTAACTCTTCTGCAGCTTAGAAAAAAACCACCAAAAAATACCCAACACTCACGCATTTTCCCAATTGAGATTGCTTTTCCTATGCCTCCTTGACAAATAGCAATTTTAGCCTCAGCACTATTCCTAGTTGGGTAAGAAACTATTGTAATGGAACACGAACCTGAAAAAAAAATCTGATTTAGTTTTTTTTTTTTTTTAACTCCCTTTTATAGGTGATGACACCTGCCCAGCAAGCCACGTCATCGAGGGCCCCTGTGTTACCTTTCAGACGGCGTCCTGGATTGCTGCACCGGGAGAGCTGTGGTGACCTGAGTACTTTCACCACAGATGAGGATGAGCTGCCAGAGAGGAGGATCCAGAGAGCAGAGCATGAACGGCCCCACAGTCTTATTGGTGTTGTCAGGGAGACTGTACTTTGAGCTGTTTTCTGTCTGTCTTTGAGCTGTTTTCTGTTTGTTCCTCAGCAGGGCACTTCTGTCAGTCATAGATGCTGCACAGGAACAGCATCTCTGACCTGGGGATAGAAGAGTGTGCCGATAATCCATTTATTTTTCTTTTTATACCCTCATGCTCAGACTCCTGAGGGGAAGCTTGCTCCAAAAGCCCGTGAAGCCGCTTGCAAGCCGGCCTGCACTGGGCTGCTCTGGTGGGACTGATCTGTTTGTGGTGCGGTACTGAGCATCGTGTCTCTGTAGCCCTCACCACTTCGGATGGATTTGCTTTTTTTTTTACTCAACTCACAAAAGAGAGGGCAGAATGGCTTTACCAGGGTGAGGCAAGGACAGTTCTTGCATGTGTGCACTTTGTATGTCACTGGAGAACAGGGCCAGTGCCAATGCCTGTGTTCATCTGGTGTGTGTTACTGTAGCTCCACTGATATTTTTTTTTTCTTTCTTTTTTTTTTTTGTGTTTTTTTGCTGGCACATAACAAGCACCACTACTAGGAAGTAAATTGCTATGTGCCAGCTGACATCCATGCTGGAAGCATTTATGCAGCCATCTCCTCTTCAGACGTGCAGGTGACTACCATACACTCTTTGTGGCTAGGATGGCTAAGTATTCCTGCTGCTATTTTAATGATAAAGCTTCATTTAAAAATTATTAAAGGGCCTTCCCACAAAAAACCAAAAAGCTTTAAAGGGACTTTTAATTAAGCTTGTTCAGAAGTTGAAACTGTGCGGTGTGGTTTGACTCTAGTACTAAAGATGATAACTTGAATAATAAAAATGCTTATCCTTGCACTGGGTTTGCTGCTTTATTTTTCCTGGAAATACATTAGGGATATTGAGTTTGCTGAAGCACTGGCCTATTGGTACATCTTGCTCCCAAAGTAAGAACACAGTGAGTAAAAACTGAGGTGGTTTGTCTTGGAGGAGAAGGGAAACACCACAAGAACACACCACTTTGTAACGCGTGCTTTTAAGCCTGCTCTGTTCTGTATTTTGCAATTCCATCACATTTAAAACTCACTATTAGCTTCCTTTTCCCAGTTGTTCATTGCCTCTACAAAAGTAGACTGTGGAAGAGGAAAATGCTGTGCACCCCATCAGTGCAAACTGTGCTCATGGTGGCTTTTGGCAGCTCTTACTTTGCTGTCACACTCTGTGTGTGAACTCCCTGCAGCCTCACGGGGAGAAAAGTCTGGATGCAGCACAAGCCTGTGGTTCAGAAGACTTGATCACAACTCAGTTAATTGCGCGTTATCCCAGCGGAAGGGGACTAGCCTGAGCTGAAGTTACCAGATGTTGGGCAGTGCTTCAAAAGGCAGGTACATGTTTCGGATAACAGGAGAGAGAAAATCTGATTTCAGTAAATTATCTGCTTTCCATAGGTCTTAATTTCTAATTGACCAAGTCATTACTACAGGACAAGTGCCACAATTATTTATAAAACCTATCATCAACTTATTACCCAGGTAAGGTGTTTCCTTAGTTACCTGCACAGACCATGACCTGTTTTTCAGCTGGTCATGCTTTAACAGAGACGAAGAGAAACAATGGGACACCAGAGGGAAAGATTTAAACAAACAAAAAAGTACTGGGAGCTATCACCTTTTCTGACCTCTACTCACTTTTTGATTACCACAGGCTTCCCTAGGAGGCCTGTTCCCTGTTTCAGAGAGCTGAGGGCCAGCCCTGTGCCTGGGGCGCATGGTGGGTACCCAGCCTCGCTTCACGTGCAGGGCACAGGCCAAGCTGAGGCACTCGTGTCTCCAGGTACCTCCTGTAACGCACCCCCAGCTTCTGTAGCTGAACCGCTGTGTGGAAAAACCTGGAATTCCTGTATTTCTTGGAGGTGATCCTGAGCAGGGAGCAGGCTGGTGCCTGTAGCCAGGCTGTGCTCTCTTCTGCACCCGTGACTTGCCAACCCAACTGGCCCAGCAGGCCCTCGCTGACTCGAGGGATTATCTCCCCTTTGGAACTCTGCTTTGGCCACTAGCGACCAGCCCCGTCAGCCACCACCGTGCCAGGGCTGCCACCCGTCTGCAGCCCCTCACTGGCTGTGCCTCACCATCAGGAGAGAGGAAACAACGTTCTAGGTGGGAAGCAGCTACACTGCAAAACAAATACTGCTCTCGCAAACCCAGTGGTTTTCTGAGGTACCAGTTAAGTTTCTCTGCAAGTATTGGAACAATAACATTGCAAGTTTAAAAAAAACACCAAAAAAACCCCACAGTTACCTATATATCCAAATAGTGTAGCAAGTTTTAATTAAATTATCTTTCAGCACAAAAGACACAGTAGAGTCACAGAATGGTTTGGGCTGGAAGGAACCTTAAAGATCATCTTGTTCCAACCCCCCTGCCCTGGGCAGGGACACCTCCCACCAGAGCAGGTTGCTCAAAGCCCCATCCAGCCTGGCCTTGAACACTTCCAGGGATGGGGCCTCCACAGCTTCCCTGGGCAACCTGTTCCTGTGCCTCACCACCCCCATAGTGAAGAATTCCTTTCTAGTATCTAATCTACATCTACTGGCAGTACCATTGCCAGTTTCTTCATCATAATTTGAATCTCAGCCAGACATAATGTAAAGGACACTTACTATGCTTAATGCTATTTAAACACATTTAAAACATGCAAAGATTTCAAGAGCTACAAGGTGTCTAGCAGCTAACCATAATCGCCATGGTTCCAGCGAGACTGCAGCCCTTAGGAAATGAAAATTGTTCTTCTGCTGCTAAAGTGTTTTTTATTCCATAAGGAAAAGTTTAGGCAAATCTCTTTCATCAGAAACAGTCTCCCACCAGCAGATTTAAAAAAAAAAACAAAACAAAACCCAACCTACCAGCTTTATAAGCTATCATACATTCAAAAGACAAACTTCTTACGCCACTTCCATTTGCAAAATGCCATCTCGCTTCTTGCCCAGGCAGTCTTCAGAACTAATGAAAAAGTCTCCATCAACAGCACTCTCTCAGATAGTGGTGCCTTCTCACCCAGTGGAAACAGCCCCAGTTAGAGCAACGGGAATTTATTAGTGGATGAGATGCTGCCGCCTTAGTCCCTCTTAACTCCTCATTCTAAAAAGGTGGGGAGGGGAAGCCCAAAACTGAGTGCAACCTGTCATACTGTCTCTCCCTACTGCTGCCAGGGTACATCTCCTGAACTTCCATGGCCTTGCTTGAGGATGTCTTTCTGGGGAAGGTGCAGTGTGTGCAACTCCTCACCCAGGGGGAAAGCCCACCGAAGCCGTGAGATGGAGGAGGGAGGAAGGGCAGAGTGCACACACACTGGGTAAAGATGGTAGGAAGAGGCATCGGGGGGTAAGTGGATGGTTATTGGAAGGCTAAGTATGAAAGATGGACATAAAGTGGAGAATAATTGTAGCTGGTTTCAGTTTACTTCCCTGAAAGTCGTTCTTAGTCTTCCTCCCTACCCCTACACACACCTGCACACAGAAATATCAGGGCGGCACAAGCCAGTTCCTTAGATCCCGGGAGACATTCTTCTGCCATCTTAATTTGCTCATTGGTAAAATCATCCAGTGGGGAAAATGAAATTGCTGCTGTATGGGAAAGTATGAGAATTAGCATAAATTATAGATACATTGCCTGGTGGAGCTGGAATACAAAACGCTTAAAATAGACACTGGGTTTCAAGGGAGGGGAGAATTCCAGGAGAGCAGTCATGCCAGGGGGTCAGTGGCAGAGAAAATGAGGGTATCTAAAACCACTGTATTGGAAAAGAAAAAAAACCGTCCCTTCTAGATTGTTTTACAGAAACAGAAATAGTTGGGATTGACACTTAGAGCAACAACCAACCTCTTTAAGAATGAGCCACTGCTCCCTGGCTGTATGTGCTGCAGTTAGATACTTTGTGCTAGGTGTGAGAAACATCCCTCTAAATTAGCAGGCTGTTAAAATTCTTTGGCTTCCCAAGGATTGCTGCTGCCCTCCCTCGGAAAAGCCAGCACGCAGATGTGGTGGTGTGCTCTCCCTGGTTTCCCCCCCCTCCCTCTCGGCTCCTGCCCGGCCTTGGCCACCACGGCCATCACAACAGCAGCTGTGATAACTTGCACCCGGTATCTGGGGGATGGCTGGCAGCATAGTCAAAATACTGTCTGGAGTGGGGACCTAGAAATTTTGTTGCCATGAAAATATGACTATAGGTCAATTATCTTACTGTATAAATAGTGGACAGCCCAAGAGCCCCTTTGAGCTCTCCTGTATGGCAGCTGGCTGCACGCCAGGATCTCCCCTTTGGTGAGGATGCTCACTGAAGGTTCTGCTCCTCGAGGTTGAGGGAATCCTTGCCGCAACAGAGTTTCGATAAGTGACTAATAGCATGCTAAACTTTGAAATTTTATCTAAGTAATGTAAAGGATTAATTGTGCATATATAATCCTTTAGACATAAACCGTTGACCAAGTCTGGGACTAGGATTGGATCCAGCCGCACCCAGACTCCTCTCTGAGAAGGAGTTTAGAAAGCAAGGGGGTCCTTTCTGAACCTCGTGACTCAACGGGAGGGTCTCCCTGACAGTTCTGTCTGACCCTGTCCTCTGTGCAGTAAATAATAGAGTGTACCCTGACATCGGATCTCGTAAAACACTATCGCATTTACCACTGGTTTTATCGCACTTACTACTGGTTTTGTTAAATCACTGTTTCACCTTAATAAATATTTCTCTGCTTCACTCTAACTAGTGAAGTTAATCACTCCATCCGCGACAGCAGATTCATGGATAATGTCCTTATCCATAATTCTGTTTGCTAAATGCATACACAGGCCTCATTCCTGTACACCAAGCGAATCAACATCTAACGGCTTCTCTGAGGAGCCATGACCATTATACACCCTCATGACCAACAGCCAGGCTTCCCTGCGGAGGCCAGGGAATCCCTGTGCAGTGGCTGTCACCTTGCCGGGAAGCCAGGAAGAAAATCTACCAGGATGCACATTCACAGTCCGGGCACTTTATGGTTTTTCTACCTTATTTGAAGTTACAGACCAGAAATGCTTTCTTGGCTCTGAAGTATGGCAGCCTCTGCCGTTACGGAGCATGATTATATGCCATTCTTGTGGAGGCAGCTGCCAAAAGCAGTATCAAAGAACCTTGCAAATTATCAGTACTATGGTTTAAATTAAAAGCTCCAGTCGTAAAAATGCAGACTTTCGGATACAAAGCCAGCTTTCAGTAAAAGCTGGTGTCCAGAGTTCTAACACTACCCTTTACAAAATAAGGTTGTTAATTTGCAAACTGTAATTAACATACCAACTGTTTAAAAGTTCTTTTTTGGCTCAGTGACCTTCTCACTTAATGGTAGGACATTACTCTTGCCTTACCAACAGTATCAAAAAACAGAACTCCAAAGCATAAGTGTTTTGCACCAGGAAGTGCTACATTGTTATCGTCCCAGTAAGAAAGGCACTCGGAATCTGCAAAGTCACATTTAAAATGCTATTTATTAGAGCTCATGCTATAAAGAAAGAGAATAGTATAGATAATTTTATATCCCTTCAGATGCTGGTATCCCCAAGTTGTGTAGCATCAAACAGGCATCAATCAGGGCGCAAGAAGTTGTGCAGTTCCCATCCTTGGAAGGGTCAGCTTGTGTCGGTTCATTTGAGCTATTACAAGATTTTCTTAGATTAAACAACTCCGTTCATCACTTCTACTGTCTAACACAGAGGATGCTCACATGAGAACTTCTTGCTGCACTTCTAGATAACGGCAAGGATACACAAGCGGTGTCACCACCAGTACCAAGCGGGAGCTCTCGGCAGGCTCCTCCCTTATAATCAAGCAGCAACATTTATGCTGTGGCCAAAGGACACCCCTGAAGGCCAGGGTGTACGAGCAGGACAGAGCAGGACAGCAGAGACCTGGGCCTGCTCAGATTAACCAACACGCGGACCACCCACTCCTCAAGGCACAATGTTCCTCAGGGCAGGATGGCTCCTGCACTGAACTTTCATTTATATCACAATTCCAGTCCTGTTCTCAGACACTGTCCATCCCCACAGGGTGTCACCACAACTTCCTCAGCCTGCAAGGCTCCCCAGGGTGCTGGAATTGGGGTCTGCTCGTCCTCCCAGTGTGCATCCAAACCATTAAAACACCAGAGGTGAGAGCAAGACAAATGTCCTCTGTGGAGACAGCAAATCTGTGACAGTTACATCTGTACTGCTAAAGGAAAAGCCAGGCTTGCGTTTATTCACTGAAGTGCAAAAATGTTGGTAATATTGAAATCAGAACGTAAAGCTTTAAAAAGAAAGTAATAAACAGGGTGGAAGGTGGCACGCCGGGAAGCACCGAAAGCAATTTCAGCCTGTGTGTTGCACCATTTACGCCACAGACTTTATAATTTCTCCAATCTATCATTCAAGCAAATAAGGTGAAAAGTTAAGAAATACTTCATTCTCTCATGTTGGCAGTATTTGTATTTCATGTTACGAATAGCCATCCAGTGGCTGAAGGACCATTTTTAGTTTTCTTCTGAATCAGCTGTGGCCCGATGTCTCAATTTCTGCAGTTTCAAAGCACTCACAACAACCCATGAAGCACAGAAAATCCTAGGAAACCTGACCTGAAAAGATGCTCCTTTGTTGGCTCTCGCTGGTTGATTTTCAAATGCCATCATATTTCTCTTAATCAATCTCTCATTATACAAATATTTTCTAACCTTAGCACAGGTAATTCCAGGATTTATTCTAAAGACAGGCATATTACAATTCTACTTTTTATTTATTCAAATGATAGTAGGTCTTAAAGAGTAAACCATGCTGAATACCTTTGAAGAAAAATAATGGTTTCAGAAATCAGAGTAAGTGTGAAGAATTTTTAGCAAGGCCTCATTTATGAAAAAAGCATTTAAAGTTACTCTGACAATGAAATATTTCTGTCACATAAAAGGCATCTTGAAACAACATATTTTTGGAAGATGCAAACACAGTGACATTTCATATGGTGAAAACTGGCGTGCAACCTTAGAGGAGGAATCAGCTTAATTTAGGAGCACTCATGCCATTTATTGTCTGAAAATAATGCTATTTTAAAAATAAACTTAATAGCATTGGTTCACATCTGCAGAAACTCCAGACTAAGTGGCAAAAGAGCAGTTCAGACAACTTCCAAGAATGCACGCATTCAGTACTGGCAAGCCAACCCTTAGACCGGTATGAGCAAACTCTCAGCCTTGTCTGAGGTATTTTTGTTTTGTATTTTATTGTTGCAAATCTTACAGACATTAGCGCTCTGTTAAATAAGGAAGGTAGTAGCACAGTAAATACACCACAACAAAATAGCTGGCCAGAAACACCCCACCCCAAAAAAAAGCCCACTCCTTTCCCCCTTGCCCTCCCCCCAAATCAAACCACTGCAGCTTCATTACAGAGGTCAAAGACCTGTGGCAAAAAACATCAGAGGAATTACATTCAGTAGATGTGCAGTATCAACATTCCAGGCTCACATATATTTATATATATATTTATATTTATATATAGAGATCATTAAATGTTTACAAAGAACAATATTGTTACAAATACAATACTATACTTTTCCCAACGCTTTACAATAATTTCTATTCATCCCCTTTACAGAACAATAGTACAACTTCATAGCCTAGGTACTGCGCTAAATATGTACAAGAGATCTCAACCACACTGTTGTCTTCAAAAACACATTTCATTTAGAAAACAAGGAAAGCAAGCAAATCTGGAAATCCCCATTGAGTATCAAATTCAAACAAGATTCAAAACAAATGTGTGAGACTTGCCAATAAAAAAAAAAATATATATGTAAGGGATGTTTCATCCTTAATGTAAACACTGAAGAATTAATTAGACTGTATGAAGCAGCAAGGATGAAAAAGAATTCAGGTCTGTCACCAAAGAAGGAATGTAAACCTGCAGTTTGTTCCTCTGAATCTGTTAAAAATTCACATATGTATTCTGCTGCAACAGTCTAGAGAACGGCCAGCTTTCCCTTTTGACCTCCTTTTCCTTGAAACTCCTTCCCTTTACAAAGTATAATGGGATTTACAAGAGTGTTATCAGAAGTGTGCACACACTGCTGACTTCCCAGTTTAGAAATCTGCTGCACACACTGTAATTGGAAAACTTGAGATTTTTGCTAGACTTTGATCCTGCAGGCGTTCACTTGCTTAATGTTAAGCACCTATTTACCATTAACCGTTCAAGCACCCAGGTGCCATTAACTTCACAGAATCTTGGCTGCAAGACTTTTAGAGAAACAGTTGTTTCACCTCTAAATACATTTGCATGTTCAGGTCTTCACCATTTCCCAGTGAAGTGAGTTAAAGACCCCACTGCATGAGCTGGACAGAACCACAGAAACAAGTGAAACTGAGAGCTTAAACACAGCAGGAACCAGAAGCATGATAACTGTGTCTTCAAGAGTTTGCTAAGTTTCCTCAGGCAACTTACGGAAAGGCTGCACTGTATATAATCTTCTAAATTGTACATGGTTATGTATCGTATTTACATATATTACTATATATATGGAAAGTTCTGGAAAAAAAAGTTCAAATGATCATAAAGCAGATGTCCACAGTTAAACGACATACTCACAATTCATTCACTATCTAGTTGCATCAGTCAGGTAGCAGAGGTAAGTACTGACCTGGAATACTAACACCGCTCTCTTGTGCAATCCGCTATTCTGGAGATTGGGATTAAATAATGTAACAACAAGAACTGCAGTAAAATCAAGTCATCATACATTAATCTCAACACTAAAACATATTCACTTACTACAATAGTTTATGCACCACTTCATTATCTCCCTTAAATATTTACTGCCCACTGAAATACAGAGTTTACTCTCTACCTCTGATCCACCCATGGATACCCATGATTTCTGAAAGCCAAAAATGGACCTGTGGGAAGAGAGCCCCACGGCTCTCAGCAGTGTCTGTACTCGGTGTGCGTACGCACACGGACACGCACTTCCACACATCTCCGTAGTAACGTTTCGGTATCGCTACTGGACTGCAAACAAGGGTTAAATGGCACAGTCCACCCCACAATCATTGAGAAACGAGTGACTATGACCAACGGTATATTTGCAAAGCAGAAGTGGTGTGTGGCTCTGTGTGGCCTGCTCTTGTTTTCATCTCACTGAGCCTTTCTATCTCAATAAAACACAGCAGAAACTGCTTCTTTAAAAGAAATCAACATGTTAGCCTGGACTAAACGCATGGTTCAATTTCAGCATGAACACCAGTATAAAGTCCTGGTAAAAAAATAACTACAGAGAATGGAGAATTTTCCTCTCCCTAGGAAGAAAAGACATTGCTTCTTTTTTTAATTTTATTTTTCCTCTTAAAAAAAGATTCAACTTAACCGTTTTATCCCCTTTTGCCTCTAGCATGCAAGTTAGAGGCGAATCAAATCCTAGATTTCATACATCCCTGCAGTTTATCATCTTCATACAAGTGCATATAGTACACGCATATCTCCTTTAAGTGCCATACATATGGAAAAAATCACAAGTTAAATTATATAACAAAATAAATAAGTTTATTCCCACCTCATCTCTTCCACTGTTATCTATATCATAAACTAAAGAGAAAGTCAATAAAATTAGACAGGTCTTTGGAAAAAAATATGTGTTAAAACTGGCTCAGAGAACAAAATTACTTAGAATAGTCTGCAGATCTCTTAATATTCAAACTTCATAAATAGCAAGCACAGTCTTAAAAATGTCTATATACACTGGCACACATGGCTGTGCGCACCAAATTCAGAATTAAGAGCCTAGAAAAAGTGTAGCTATTCAGGAAAGCCCCTCACTATTTCTATTGTAGGTATTTAAAGATCCCCCCCCACTCCTTTAACCTCTAAAATAGGCAAGGGACTATAAAAGACATGTTGCATTTAAAAACAAAGCAGAAGAAAACAAAGAGTTAGAAAACCGGGGTCAGAGCTGGGGAGGCAGCTGTAAAAAATGCCTCCCAAATTACTTAGTGTGAGTAATGCAAGCGTAACATGTTTCTGCAACTCACGGAGTACCTTTTGGGGTCCTACTATCATGAAGAATTGATGACAGAGGGGCATTAAAAGGTGTGTGTTTGGGCACTCCATTTTACAACAGCAGCATTTACTGAATCTTCATAAGCAGGTAATTCTTCCTGAGGGCAAAGCTATCCTTTTGGTATCTATTTTCCCCACAGACATAAACCTTTAATACTGAGCTCAATGCCTGTGGGAAAACAGGGCAAGAAAGGCAAAGTCACATGCAAGGATATCCAAGATAACACTCTGCACCCTATACTTTTATCTGCTTGGCAAAGACATCTTTCATTCAGCAACATTTAATTTACTCAAATTTACTATAATTTGTCAAATTATAGCCACAAAAATAAAACTGATTATGTAGTATGAAGCAGAGTTAATCTTCTCTGTGAATCCTGCTGTGAACAATGCTGCTGTTATTTTCCTGGTTTGCATGTGGAACTGCATGAAGTTGGCTTGTAAAAATATGCAACCAAAACAGTCCCACAGATATTTATCACCCCTTCCCAAAATACAGAAAAATGGTAGAGAGAAGAGGAAAAAGGGAGAGAGAAGAGAGACAGTGTGTTTGTGCCTGTGAAGGAGAGAGAGAGAGAGGGAAAGAAATGTCTCTGCAGACACAGAAATGCAGCACTAAAGAGACAAGCACTAATGAGGAAAAACATCCTCCATGCACATTGTGATGGTGAGGTGTCAGCTTTAGATGTAAACTGGTTGCTCTTGTGCAGTCAACAGTCTGTACATGGCAGCTGGCATAGTCTTCATATGAATCTAAAGGAAATACAACAAGTTAATCAATGCTCCAAACGTGCACACTACAACACAGCATTGGTGAAGAAATTACCTAAGGTCATACAGGACAGAAGGGAAAGGTAAAACCTGAGAGTTTTCATGTCCTTATTAAATTATTGCAGGTGGTGATACTATGAAGCAGTATGTTTAAAATCAATGGACCATCCAAGGTTGTGGACACTTCGTCTTTACAGATTAGGGCCCTTCTAAAACAGGAAAACTATGGGTAAACAACAAAAGAAATGGCGTGCTGGCTTGCTCTCTCTTCCATTTTATAGATTTGAATACCAACAGGCTAATAGAGGTAGAATCACAGAATTATGGAACAGTTTGAGTTCAAAGGGACCTTTGAAGATCATCTAGTCCAACGCTACTCCTGCAGGCAGGACATCTTTTACTAGATTAGGTTGCTCAAAGCCCTGTCCAACCTGACCTTGAACACTTCCAGGGATGGGACATCCTCAGCTTCTCCGGGCAACCTGTTCCAGCCTCTCACCACCCTAATTGTAAAAACTTTCTTCCAGACCTTGAACACTTCCAGGGATGGGACATCCTCAGCTTCTCCGGGCAACCTGTTCCAGCCTCTCACCACCCTAATTGTAAAAACTTTCTTCCATAATGTCCAATCTAAATCTACCCTCTTTCATTTTAAAACTGTTGGCCCTTGTCCTGTCACTACAGGCCGTGGTAAAATGTCTCTCTGCATCTTTCTTTAGAAGGCTCCTTTATACAGGCAGCAGTAAGGCAGCAATAAGATCTCCCCAGACTCATCCCTTCCCCTGGCTGAACAACCCCAGCTCTCCAGGACGCAGTACTCCAGGTGGGGTCTCACCAGTGCAGAGTAGAAGGGCAGAATCACCTCTCTTGATCTACACTTCTTTTGTGTGGGTACAGTTGGCTTTCTGGACTGCAAGTGCACATTGCTGGCTTGTGCCCAGCTTTTTATCCACCAGTACTCCCAAGTCCTTCTCCATAGGGCTCTCAATCCATTCATCCCCCAGTCTGTACTGATGTTGGAGACTGCCCAGACCCAGGTGCAGAACCTTACACTTGACCTTGTTGAACTTCAGGAGGGTCACACAGGCTCTTCTTTCAAGACTGTCAAGGTCTCTCTAATGGCACCCCTTTCTTAAAGCAGATCAGCTGCACTACTGAGCATCCTCAAACATGCTGCAGGTGTACTTGATCTCACCATCAATGTGCATTGATGAAGATATTAAAATCTATTGGTCCCAGTATGGTCCCTTAAGGGACACCACTCATTACTGCTTTTGTTTCTAAATGGTAACAGCGATAAACTATGTCATACTGTCTAGACACATTGCCTGCTCTTACCTCACCAACAGCATTTGAGAGAATGTGAACAATTTTCTCATGAGGTGTTGCTACAACACTCTGTCCATTGATTTCAATGATCCGATGGCCGACACGCACACCTCCTCGCTCTGCTATGCCTCCTCTCATAAGGCTACAGATCTGGAAGGGAAAGGACAAAATTATCAGGGCCTAGATAAGTAACAGAGGCTTTAGATTACTCATTTTTGCCTATAAACTGTAAATCAGCATTTAAACACAGAGACTTGCAACAAATTCTAAAATGTAATCAATCAAAGATTGAAAGTAAAATTTGTCAGTGACAAATAACTACTGGATTTTCTCTTCCAAGAGCAGAACAGTCAGAAAAGGCTGTTTGTGTTGTACGTCACATGTGCTGTGGCTTGGAAATTTAAGAGTGAATGAAGGACCACAGTTTAACAGTGCAGATGCCTTACATCAGAATGCAGATGCCTCACAATAAAACAGGTCAAGGTCAGCCTTTTTCTTTTGAGATCATGCAATAGCTTGGTTAGAGACATGAACGATGCAGATTCAAAACACCCTCTGCTACACGTTATTGTTTCTCTAACCTAAGGCAGCTTTTCTGTTTCTTTGGCTGTCTCTAAAGTTGTGAAGTAGAGTCAAAGAAAAAAAATAACTGATCAACTCAGATTTTGTATCTTAGACTTAAAGCATGTGCAAAGTCCTGCTTGCTGTAAGGGACAAAATGGCAGCTTCCCTCTTCCCACACTGAAATTTACCCCCAAATGGATAAGTTTCATGTCCATTAAAGCTTAACCAGTGAGTGTGGAAAGCTACTTACAATCCCATTCTGCACACTGAAGCCCAACTGATATCTGAGGTCCGGTCTCCTGATCAAGACTGTGGTTACCGGAGGACACCTAACTATGTTCAGTTTAACTCGGGCCTGGTTTTTCAAACCCTGTGGAAAGAAATCACCATGAAAAATGCTGGCAAAGATAGAGTGAAACATTTAATATAAGCATTGCGAGGGGGAAAAAGTGTTAAAATGTTGACATGGGAACAGCTCTGAATAAACAGCTCTTTGTATGCATTGTAACAGAATCTGATCACTTAATGTCACATACAGACATCAGAATATTTAGTGAAATGAGTAACAAAATATCAAATTTTTCTTGCCAAGAAGCTGACACAGTTGTTTTAAGAACACTACCTTCCTGCTGGCAATTTCTTCATTTGATAACACAAACCATGTATAAAAAGAATAGTAAACAGGTCTATGCAGTTCACCAAAAAAGCCAATAACTGTGGATGGGAAATAAAATTTTAAGTAGCTAAGGTAGTTACAAATAAGTGGTTTCCCTAATAGGATATATTAAATTCTGTCAAGCAAACGGCAGGCCCTGCTCATATCATGCTTGTGTAAGCAGTGCTCCTAATTTCCGTTCCTCCTACCTTCTAAATGAGTTCTATCACATTTGTCATAAGCTCTTTGCTACCAGAAGAAAATTGAAGGAGGAAAAGTTATTTTTACTTTGGTAAGGGTAGTAAAACACTGGAACAGATTACCCAGAGAGGTTGTGGAGTATCCAACCTTGGAGTTATTTAAACTGCAGTGAGAACAGTGCTAAGCAACCTACTCTACTTTGAACCAAAGTGTGGGTCAAAGCGTGGGTCAAAGTTTCAGCAATGACTGCCAGCCTCAGAGACTCTGTGATTGTGTGTCTTCCTGAAAATTCAAATATAAAAACGTAGATAACTGCAATCTGACCCCTTGTACAACTTCAAGTATTCAGAGCTCTTGGAGATTATTAAGAGATTTTCCTGAAATGATTCATTTACACAAAAGGTTAGCCATAAATAAATACATAAATAAAATCCACATCAAGAAAGAAATGCCTTATAAAGAATACAGCAACTTCCACCTTACTTACCAATTCCAGCACCTACTTCTGAATTCCTTTTTTATGTAAAATTGAAATCTGGGTCCTGCTACAACTAACGGGTGTCTGACACTGACTTCAAAAGGTTAATTCTGAAAAATAACTCCTACTATAGCTAAGGTAATACACTGAAGTCTCAATATGCAGTTTACTGTGCTGATTCTGTTGAGCTAAACTCCAGATTCAGCAGTGACTTGAATAACCAGACTGGCATCCTTGCCAAGGTGAATTCCTTAGAGTATGCTTTCTTGTCAGTGCCTTAAACTGGATGCAATTATCACACAGAAGACAGCTGCCCTCACTTACACACAGCGCTGAGCTCAGCTTGGCTCATTATTCAGAGTAGATCCAGGAGAATGGTTGTGTGAACACAAAATGAAAAAGCACGTGGCTGTGGGATCTGCTTCTACTCCACTGGCAGCAGAAAGAAGGTTTGAACGCCATCTTTTCCATGACTATGGACTCCACCACTCCAGGGAGGAGTTAGCAGCACACCACACGTACTCAAGGGCAATTCATCTCCTATATGCAGGTCATCACAACAACACATACAGTAGAAGACAGGGACTAATTAACCACGGGTATGATGTTAACTCAGAAGTCTGAGGGACTTCTACATCAGCATTCTAAATCCAGGAGGGTACCAGTCATGCAGAGTACTGGAGGCACTCTTTTCTATAAGGAATTCAAGCGTCTCACTTCAGTCACATCTGAGTTCACCCAGGTTACATGCCCTCAACAGAGCTGGTATCGTTGCACTCTTACTTCCCTGACAAATGTGCAAGTTTATATGTATTCCTTGAAAAAAATAATAATGTAGTCACCAACAAACGATTTTCTAATTTTCCAGAAAGCAAACGTATTTCAGAAGTGGCTAATTTCCAGTGTTATGCAGACAGGTAATATATGCTGATCAGAAACAAAACAATTGCATCATTTGCTTATCTAGTCCCTCAGTCTGCTTTTGATAGGTGCCAGCACCAGATGCTTCTGAAAAGGATAAAAGTAGCATAACGCAATTAGGGAATAACCACCACATATGGAAAGTTTCTGATCTCTGTCAGTTTGCAATTGGTTTATGGTCAATTAGTAGTAGAGATTACATCTATAATACTGAAACTATGTTATTTGAAGTGCTTGCAAGATATTCTTATCTACACAATATTCTCATCTTTTGACAGGATTCCCTACAGCACGCTAAAGAAATCTGAAATCCTGAGATATTTCTGCCACATTTAAATGTATGCTTCCATCATTCAGTGTTATATATACTTGTTACCAGAAGTGCTATATGAACAACTTCAGATGTATGGTTATGAAGATCTGCAAAAATACAGACTATTTTCTCCTTAGAAAGACAAAATAAATGACTAGTAGTTCCTATGGCAATGGCAGTTAAGTATCAGTGAGGAAAAGAAAGGTCTGCAGAAGCTCGAAACAGCAAAGCTGGTTGTTTCTCTTTTGAGAAAGTACAGATGAGCACAATGAAACTCCACCTGAAAAGGCTCAGAATCAGAGAAGCACAACTCATCACAGTTTAGAAATAAAACTGATGTGGGGTAGGAAACAAGCATGGCTACCTAAAAAGCCTAAATTTGTAGGGAGTTTTGTTCCACTGAAGCTGGCACAAAGATATTTAATATGGTTCTTTTTTCTTTCCTTCACAAATTTAAGACTCTTTTTGCCATGTTTTCAGTATGCTACACTTCCAGGCTATCGTTTCTAGTCACTAAATCTAAAATGGGAGGTTCAGTGACTTATACATTTCTTACTCATAAGAAGTCAGCATTAACATTTTTGAAAACCAGAATGGGAAGTCTTTATAGCAAACATCTTAGCTCAAGTATTGAGAATCTAATCCATGGACAAAAATTTAAAATTTACTTTGTAATTTACTTTTTTTACTTCGTAAATGCAAAATTGACTTTGTGATTTAAAAAAGTACAAAAAGGAAAAAAAATTACATAATACAACTTGTTACCAGAAATTTGTCTAAATAAATAAGTTCACAGCCATATTCCTAGAAATCAGAGAGGAATTCCTGTATAACACACTACCAGTATTACACTGTTATTTATCGAAATAGCCCCACAGGCCTCCTGCAGATCATAACATGTAGACACAAAGTCTATATAGCTTCATCTCAAACATTCCCTAATCATGCATCTTTCCAGCTCTTGAAACTCTAATATTTAAATGCCCATCCCCGTGTATGCTGCAGCTACCTCAGGCACTGTTCAGTTCCAGTTGACCTGCATGCTTTTTGCAGTCACATGCTTTTCTGACAACTAGAAAAAAATCTCTTCAAATTAAAATATCCTATTTAGCCAAAAGAAGAGAAGCACCACACTTTCAAATAACTCAGGCAAAGTTTTTACAGAGGATAAGTATGTCTTTAATTCAAAGTTTTAAAGTTTTAAAAAAAGTTATAAACAAAACACCAAAAAAGCATCAGCTATACTTCAGCCAGATACTAGGAGGCATTTAAACAGCTAATAGGGCCTCGGACAATATTATGCACCTGTGCCTCCTTTTGTACGTAAAACTTTTAAGTGCCCTCACATATCTGTGAAGACATATATCTTACATATTTGGTAATATGCTCCTTCTCAACAAAACATTCTCTTGTGAAGTTCTGCAGAGTCTTTGTCTATAGAAGTACACAGTACAGCTCACTTTCTGGGAGTCAGAAAATTGGTGTACCCTAATTCCCACAGTAGTTTAAACTATGTGAAATGGAAAGTGCTATACAAACACTTGGTAAGAATTTACTTAAGATTTCTATACTTTCTCCTCTCCTATTATGTAATCAATTTAAAATGTGTGAGTTCCGGAAACATTCTCCATACCTTTATAATGCTCTGACATGTGGAGAGTGGTAAGCCAACCAAACTGGTCCCGTTGATTGACATGATCTGATCCCCTATGTTCAGCTTCCCAGACTTCTCTGCTGGTCCTCCATGCATCATGTTGGCTATGATAACAGTAGGCAAAATTGATCCCCAGCCAGACTCCACAATCACTACACCTAGGATTTCTCCCTTTTGCTTTTCAATGTAAACCTGTATCATAAGAAAAAATGTTTCAAAAAAAAAAGCTTCTTCACACCCTATGGAACTGATTAACATTCCTCCTCCCCAAAACAGGGTACACATTTAATTACATTTCATTTGTATTGAAACATGAAATGATCAACATTACATAATATAGATTTTGCTTAGTGCAAAAAAACCCCTCACAACTTATTTCTTCATATAAGCAGAAGAAACTGGAGTGGAAGAAACCCTGGTGTCATGGACTTTGGTGGACAAAGCTAAGCAGGAAGAGATTGCAAGGGTTTATGACTGTGGATTGGAAAACCACTGCCTGGGTGTTGCAGTGGTGCACTGGTTTATCTTTATTAACCAAGATGTATACCCTTTCAGCAAATACAATCCTTTAAAATCTGGAATCAGCCACTTTCACAGACAGCTATCCCTCTATAAATTTTATATTTTTTTATTGTAACCCTTTAAATTGTATCACTCTGTTAATCTGTTTTATATTAATTCCATTAACATAAAATGTCGAACGTCTCTGAAAATTATTTGGTGAAAAGAACACAAACAGACGGTAAACAATTTCACTGCTGACAAATTCTGGGTTCACTGTTTGCCTTTGAAACAGAACTCATGACAGGGTGTCCTACTTGGGAGGATATTCTAGGCTAACTGAGGTCATTTATAGGAAGCATTAATGGTTTTCTGATTTCCGCCAGCGGGGCCAGCACCTGGTACACAGCAGCTTAATACTTTTATGGGAAAAAAAAAAAGAGAGACATACATCTTTGCAGTTTTCAGATTTGGAGAAGTGAATCAGGTCATCATTGTACATGTCTTGGGTATTGAGCAAGTCACTATATTCCTTCTGGCTGAGGTCTTCTGGGTTGATTCCGTTTGCCCTCAGAAATTCCTGGTAGGCCACACTAAATGCTTGACCTATAGACTGTGCAATCAACTGTGCCTGTAGCAGTTCACAGAGAAGAGAAAAGAAAAGAGTGAAACATTCTGATGGTCTTGTGCACTTACACCTTCTCTGTTACAATCACACTGTAAAAACACACAATCACTACAAGTCAGGTTACTGCAATTGAGTTTAAAAAAATATTTGTGCATTAAAAATTAATTTAAAAGACCCCCAAAATGTCAACACCTGTGCCATGAATCCAGCTTGGTGAGCAATTATAAATGAGAAATGCAAATAAAGCCATCATTTCACAGGCAAGAACTGCCAATGTAAATGTAAAGGTATACCTGCTACAGTGACTGTAGCTTGCACCTACAATTCCTCCCACACGTGCAGCTCCCAGATGGCCCTCCCTTCCAGCAGAGAGGTAACGCCATTCTCTGACAAGCCAGCAGTGAAAATGAAAATGTCTACTAGAAAACAAACCACCACACGTAAGAGGATATTTCCTCTTTTTCTTAACCCTCCCTTAAAACCATCATGTCCACATTGGCTACTCCTACTTCAGACAAAACAGGAAAAGGGCAGCAACTAGCGACCAGATCCAGGCCTTGAAGCGACTGGAAATGGTCACTCACATCTCCTTCTCCACCCTGCCTACCTCCTTCAACTTCTCTCCCCTTCATTTCTTGTTTCCCTCCCTCCAACTCCCATGATTCTGCCAGTTCCCCGCCTCTTTCCTTCTCAGCCTGTCCTTTGTGTGCACGCTCTTGCACCTGCAGCTTCCTGTAGCCTTCTCTACACCTAAAGCCACCAAATGCACCACTTGCTAAACTGCATTGATCCCACCATGAGCTGTTCTAGGGCCACAGTGCAAGAGAAAACGGGCACAAGGCAGACACGCAAGGTGGGGGAGGCAGATGGGAACAGCAGACCAGAGGGATGCCTCCCTTCGAGGCAGTGACCAGGGTGAGATCAACCCAGGTTTGACAGCAAGGAGGAGACAGGAAGGAAATGGCAAAAGTACACTTCCACAGCTCAGTAACCTAGATGAGGAGACATATGTGGACTTTACATTCATACACATGTATGTTTGCTCCAAGAACAGATCAACTCCCATTTAGACACCCAGCATTTGGACATATAGATCATTTGAAGATCCAGTTCCAAATACAGTGGAAAACCTGGTGCTGTCCTCCTTAGATAAGGACTCTTCCAAGGAGAAACACATTCTGGCCAACACTTGCTTGAGGGCTTACCACCTCTGGGTTAATTCACCTAAATACCCAGCTGTCCCAGAAGAATAAAAGGTGACAATGAGTTTTACACATGAGTTTTATAACATAAACAGGCTGTACTACTCCACTAGATGTACAGGATTTTTGAAGCTGTCATCTCCTTGCTGTAACAGGTGCTACAATGATTCTACTCTCTTTTTTTAGCCCTTTGTGTATTTGAGATAAATTTTGCAAGCTATTTGTGAACTATACCCCGACTAAGGAGAGCTGATATAATCTCCTGCAATTTCTCAGCATTTTTTCACATGCTTTTATTGGATCTGCAGGCCTGTGTTTTCCAAGCCAATATCTGGTGGCATAGGGAGGATCACATCTGACACAAAAATGGGCTGATCCAAACAAACCACAGAAACTACTGTCAGCGATGCCCAAAAGGAAGCACATATTCCAGCTAGCCAAAGTATTAATAGCAGCCTGGAAAACAGATCCAGCAAATCTGGATCACAGTCAGACCACACGTGCTAAAGGGAAATAAGTCCCAGGCTCTGGAACCTGACAGTTTGATTTCTGCTTTTTCAACTGGCCAGGAAGAGGGCTAGCACTGTCCAACTTGTGACTGGAAATACAGGAACAGCAGCCTCAAAGTGGGCAGTGTATCAAATGATAATAAGCAGAAAAACCATTGGCTACTCTTTTCATTTTCACAAGAGTTTCTTGAAAGGCTCTGCAAAACTGCTTGCACATTACTTTGGGGAAAAAGATCCACAATTTCTTATGCTCTCTGTCAAAATTTTGGCAGAGGTTTACTTCTGTCAGTGCTCTTGCCCTTACTTTTTAACCTCAGCAGTGGTTCGTATATGTACATTCATCTGCAACTAGATAATTTATCAACACATGGGCTTAGAACAGATTCATCATGACATAAAATCAGCTGCATATTCAAGAAAACCCTCCCACCCCAAAGTCTTCGCTGATACACTGCAGAATGGAAGACCTATGAGGATTTTCACCTCACTTCTTTTAAGCAATACTCTGCTATTTGAAGGGCTTAGAACTGAGATTTTTTTTTTTATTTTCCCAAATTATTAGGGCTAACTTGATTATGATCCTGGCAACTATATACCTAGCCACTTCAATCTGATATGTTTGATTTTACTTTTCAGTTTCTGAGCTTTAAAAGTGCATAAAATCAGCAAGTTATGCACATTGATTGTGAAGACAGGATACCAAGTCCTATATAACATAACTTAGCAACCTGCACCATAGACTAAAATTCACTCAGCTGTGTCTTCATTCAGCATACTTTGAGATTGCTGGAATCACCAACTTTCTCTGTTGGCTTTTTGATATGATGACAGCAACTACTCACCAGCCCAAGTCTCTTTGGGCTAATGAAAAAAAAAAAAAAAATCATCCTTGTAGAACGTATCAGTGATCCTTGGTGCAATACCTGGGATCAGAATTTCCCTAGGAAAATAATCATCTCTGACAGACTTTCACTCTAACATGTAGACTCTGAGCTGGTATTTGCGAGCTGTGGCAAGTGGACCCTCTCTCATTGTTACTGCAAGGTACAGAAGAAGCTTAAAAATGGGAAGGATTTGTATAAACATCAGTTTTGTGAGTAAAAAAAAGTCAGGTTTAAACATACAATTAGAAGGCAAGTTCCTCTCCTTAGATGAAATACTTGGTTGCAGTTAGTGAACAAGCAGGGCTACTTGCTATGGATTTCAAGCCTACCAAAATGTGCTTACATTTACATCCCTAGAAAATTACAAGACAGAGTAGTTCCTTACATCCTCAGACTCAAAGACATGGCAAATCATTTTGTACTGCCTCTTTCCGTCTTGGGAAGGGTGAGATGCTTCCACATTATCCTGTGAGTTAGACCGTGGCATTCGCCTACGAGCCATCAAAACGACAATATTTCCTATATCTGCAATGTAAGAAATGGTCCGCAGGGGATGATCCATCATGGTTTCCTGAGGAATACAAAAAGCAACATGAGCAGCTGTTTCAAGGAAGTTCTTATTGCACACCTAGTATTATGAAAACAAAAAAATGGCAATATAAGACCTCTGTTACGTGAAGTCTGTGATAGCTGTCATGCATGAAGAGAGACGCCAATAGAATGCAAGAGCTTCACTTTTGACAACTAAAGCAAAGTGCAAGTTTTACAAATTAAAGTTGTGTTTTCTGTGGAAAAGCACATAAAGACCTCAATATCAGAACCTGAACATGCTGGGCATATATACGCAAAGGACTATGAATTTCAGATTACCACAACCAAACATTTTGGGCCACTTTGCGCACAATCAATACCTTGATGCATCACGTCTTGTAAGAAATGGGCTGACTGCAACTAGCTTACCCACAAATTCTAATTATTTCTACAGTCAGCCACAACACAGTAATTGCATGTATGACATATTTCTTGGGCATGGATTTCTTACTAAGAAATCTTGGAGGGAAATACAGAAGCCAGCACCTTTTGAAGAACAAATTTTGGCAGTCTTATTTCAGCAGTCTACTGCACCAGAATACTGACAAAGGTATCTTTGTCTATACCTGTGTGTCTGCGTTCAGTACTTTTATTCTCTGTGTAGAAATGAAGAGGTCCACTTCAGTCATGGGTTGTGATTCACCTTCTGGAGCCTGAAAGTAAATGGATTTTCAATGGATTTTAACATTCAAATTAAAACATTAGGTAACATACTTACTAATGATGTTAGCTCACAAACAGGGGCGCACTAAGACACAGTCACCAGAACAGCAATGCAAGATAAAGTATTAGACCACAGAAGCTAAAGATAAACACAAAGATATGGAAACTATATACATATATGTGAAAGCAAATTGGATATTATTTGAAAAATTGTTCACCCCATAAAAGCTTCCCTGACATTTTTTCTCATTCAGTAAAATTATACCTGATTGCAACATAAAATATATGAGGATTTCATGAAAATCAAAACGATTCTCCTAATTTCTCCACATTATGAATCCCACTTTAAAGAAGGTTTTTCACACAAGCCATAGAAAGGCGTAACAGTATTTTTTGCCTGAGGAATTTCTATACAGGCCAACGGTGACTGCCAAGACCAATGGAAAAACCCGTACCATGGGTGGGTACAGTTTAAGCAATTCACAATGCAGTTCTGGGAAGAAGACCTTCACAGTCAGACAACACACTACTCAAGCACTAACCCACTTCAGAAGTCATATTTTGTTAACAGAAAGCAAACACTTTTAATTTTTAAAAAATTAGATTTGTTAAAAGATACTTAAAAACTCCATAAACAAAGCTTATTACTAAGATGAGTAAATCTCAGCATATTACTGTGTGTATATACATATTTTTTTTCTTTTTTGCATCCAGCAATTTGACACTTCTATTAATCAAACGAAGCACTCTTGTAGAAAGATAAAGTAAAATAAAAAGACTTCATTTTAATCTATCATTTTACAGAGTTAAAACCTTTGCCATGTCAGTCCTGTTTCTTTAGTAAGCATTTTGGGTACCGCCTGTAACCATTTGATAAATCCAATCTTTATTCTATTTCTAACATGAAATGGCTAATGATAAGCAACAAAAAATGGCCAATCAGGCAACTGATTTCTGAGAAATGTCAACTTGTATGGTGGCTTAGAAATAAATCTTAAAAAAAAACTTGCTGGATGCAGAAAATAAAAGCATAAAATAAAAAAGAAAGGCAAAAAACCCTCCCAGAAAACAAAAGAACAGGCATAACATCAAGCTGATGGAGTTTGTACTGCACCTTCTTCCTGCTTTTGGCTAATTTCTGGGCCATCTGCTTAGCATGGAACAAACAGAGACAGGAGAATAGTTAGAAAAGAACTTACAGAGACTCCAAGACAAGCAGGAATCTGCATGCTAATGCCAGGGCTCACAGACTATTAGCTATTCTAAATTAGTCCCTGCTTAGATCAATTTCCTTCTTTTCTTTTTGGCTTTAAAAAAATTTTAAAATTTCATTTTTAGCACAATTACTTAAAAAAAATGAAAAGAAACCACACCAAAAGAGTCAGGAAGAATACAAAAATATTCAATTTTTTTTTCTTCATTTAAAATGTACTCACAATGAATAAGAGGGGTTTTTTTCATTTTTTTTTTCCCTTGGGTGTTTTTTTTTTAAAGAAAAAAACAGAGCTTCCCCCCATTTACAGTAGTATAAACCATATGGCTACTTCTTTTTGAAGCAACAATTGTGTAAAAGGTGAGAGAAGAATTTTGACCATTATTATTCCAGCTTTTTTAGAATGAAAGAATTTAGATTCAAGTTTTCTGATGCTCTCAAACAGTCTTTAAAAAATAACCTCCCTAAAACTATGCTACTTTTTCCTGGAAAAACAAAATTACAGAAGGTAACTTTCACCTCAATTTTCTCCACCTTCTGTGCAAAATATACCCATACCAATGTTAGCACTGCATATCTGGACAACACGTTTTCCTGCGACACCTGCACATAGATATGTCCATACTACCACATTTTTTCAAGAAGGCAGTGGAACACGTACTTCTGTTCCACAAACATTTGAAAATAGGTCTCTTGTCACTAAGTAGTTAAATTTATTTACATACAGAGATATATCAACCAAACTGATTCCTTACATGCGGCTACTGTGACAACACCACCACCACAAATAAGCATCACTCTTACAGTCTTGCAATCATTAATTCAAACCAAGGTGATCCAAACTTATGGACCTGCTTACTGAAGAAGTGCAATACTCACCAGGCTGGCAGATAACCTTTTACTTCCAACAGTATCAGCCTCTCAGCTAATTAAATTAACAGGTGTTCTTGAGGTTGGAAGGTGACTTACTATTATAGGCTTCATAAAGATTCATAGTGAACTACTTTTATGAAGAACAAACAGGAGGCCACAATCACAAGAAACATCAAATATTTTGTACTGATGCTCACAACTTAAATGTTAGGTTTCACCTAAACAAATCTGAAAGCAGCTGCTGAATCTTTAGACTGTGCTGCTTAATTACAAATACAAACACTATCACGGCAGCTTTTAGTCACCTTTATCAAAGTAATAAATATTTGATAGCCTGGTGATTCCAAACTATTGCAAAAACAATTAGAACTGCCTCATGTTGCACGTTCTTCGTTAAATTAATATTCATTCACGTTGGTACTCAGAAATAATATACTCATGAACAGCTGCCTGACACATACTGGGCAAGGAGATTCACTCATGAGATAGAGCATTTAAAGTGCCTTCCAAAATCAAGCTTGCCTTCAGACAATTTCCCCCCTTCCCCAAACTTTACAGAGTGATGGACCTCACAAAAACAGAAAAGCACAGGACAAAAAGAAGAAAAAGCGGGGAAAAAAAATCCTTGCACTAGAGATTCACAATGCAAAATCAAAGATTAATCAAAACACACTATCATTCAATTTATTGAAAATTCTGCTCTTGCAATAGAAGCATCTGAGCATACTGTTATTTTAATTTTTTTAAGAATGACTTTCAGATATTCCATAAAACTGAGGTAATGATATGGAACAACCCATTTTAATAAGTGATTTAACACTACACGGGAATGTCACAAAAGAAGTTATGGTCCGTGGGAAAAAAAAATAAATTAGAATAATTCTACGCAAGATGCTTTATCAGACAAATCCTCTTTATCACATTATTTGCTAATTTAGATCAAAAGAGTCCTTCTATATTCTTAGAAAAACCAGAAACTACCTCAACAAAATAAAATATTATTTTTTTAAAAAATATACAGACTCCAGGTTTTTCATTTAAGGTAAATGAAATTTAACCATGTATCTAATATCAATTTCCAAAATTATAAATTATTAAAAAACAGCAAGCTTCCACTTTTGCTACAGAGATGTCTCAAACATACTCAAGCCATTTAACCTCTACAAAAAAAAGTACTGAAACTCAGTGAAGATCCAGATGACACTGAGTGAACAAAATGTGCAGAATATTAACACACCTTCACATGTTAAATTCCATTCAGTGATTAAATCAGTTATTATCTAAAAATGTTCAAATCTGCCACACAGCTCAAATCTGGTGATGAAAAATAAAAATGAAAGTGAATTGTTAGTTGACACGTAAAACTCATGGATCAGCTGTGAACTGTAACCAGGAACATCAACTTTTTTACTTCTACAAATAGTATACATGCACTCCAAGTAAAAAGTCAAAAAGATCTTTCTTTCTGTGCTGTCTGAAGAAGGGAGACTACAGTCTGAAAATCGTGAAATACCTTTTCTATTACTAAAAGTACCTCCTAGTGGAAATTTAAAATAACTACGTTTGATGAATGCCTTCAAAGCAAAGTATCTGTCTTAAGTTAGTTGGACTTCACAGAGATGAATGCCTCAGCAAGAAAAACCTTGTAGTTCTAACTGAAGAGATACTTGTTTCAAGAAGCAGCATGGACAATTGTTTTAAAAATCTGTTCATACTCAAAAAGAATGAATATGTGATCTGACGGCTCTGCTAAAAGGAAGCATTATAGGGGTTATTAGATTTTAAAAGGAACACATTCATACGGAAGCTATGTGCACACAGGTAAACAAAGCTCTTCCCCACTTTCTGATGCTCTTAACTTCAAGTTTGTAAATTTTTAAAAGCTTGTTCTTAATTCATAACATATGTTTAACTACAGAGAAATATTTCACACGCAACACCCAACACACTCTGTAAACAAACGTGTAGGGCACAAGTATCACAGTCATTGTGTGAGCAGTATTTTGCACAAGGCTAACTTATGCCATGATGCATCTTGCAGCAGGAACTCCATCTGTCATAATGAATTTCTCACTAAAAAAGTTTAGCTTTAATGGCAATCAGACCCAAAACCGGCCAAAACCAACCCTAGTAAACCAAAGACCCTAAAGTGCAGGGAGGTGTACTTACATTGCCTGAGCTTTGCCTAGAAGTGGAAAAGCAGTTAACTGTCAAAGGTACAATAGTATTTGTGTACAATTTTCTGAAACACAGATTCAGAAAATTCTGTGCACAAGTTTTGCCAGATCAACAATGCAACTGTTTGGAGCTTCACCCTGAGAGAAATTTACTACAACCAAGAATATGCATGCCTGCTAATTTATACGGATGTATAAATTACGGGGTTTATGAGTGAAAAGAACTAAACAGATTTCTTCTGTTTTGAGGCACAGCAGCACTGAGGCATAACAGAATCCTCAGAAAAAACTTTGTTTTGTTAATGAATTTCCAAGAAAAACATTTCATACCAGAGAAAGATTCTACACTCTTATACCTCATAGAGCCACTTTGAAGCAATTCCTTTAATCTTTGTCTATTGTGTACTCCCACACAAGCTTTACCTCCTAGGTGCAAACTTCCTGCCCAGCTCCATGCTCAAGTTCAACTCTGGATACCAGTTTCCTATGATAGCTGATGCTAATCTTTCAGCCTCCAGTGATGCATCCCTCCTAGATACAGCCTCAATGAAGCCCTTATTTCTCTCCCTTTTCTATTTTACCTTTAGTTTCCCGTGCATTCAAATCAGACAACTTTTCTACCCTGCGGCCAAGCATCAGGAAAGAATGGGGACTACTAAACAGACAGGCACAGCATTACTTGCACCCAGAGCAGCAAAGAAGCAGACTCTGTAAAGGAAAGTCTCCACAGTAGCTTTGGGAAGAACACACCAAGAGTTGTCAGAGTTGAGAAAGCCAAGTGAAAAATCTTTTTTAAAAATGTCACTGAATCCACAGTCTCCATGTAAACAGATAAAACATTTTTTTTGCAATAGGCTCAGTCGCTGCTGAAGTTTGTGGAAGCTTCTACAGAGACGGCAGAAGATGACTTATCTGTAACAGGAAGGCTACATCCCTGACTCCTCTATAATGCTAGAGTACTAGTGATTTTCAAGGACAAGATTGCAAGACCTTATGTATTTGAACATTAGCAAAATTTCAATTTCTGGAAGTATCTCTAGTTGGAGGTTCTCTGTGAAAGTTTCATGCAGAGACCAAACTGAACACCTGGCATGGAAAACACTGGAAGGAATAATAACGGTAGAAAGCATCAGCCGACGTTAATAGACAGTGCTATTGGCCTTGCTGTTAACATGCTGTCTCTTTTCCTCTCCCTTTTATGCAACTGTATTGCAGAGTCTGAGCTGGAATCCAAGATAAACTATACAAAAGAAGAACACACAAATATCGAACTAAAGAAAACTTTCAGAAGGTTGTGTTCGTTAGCTGAATTAGCAGAAGAGGAAGCTGTGTGCCTACGACCCAGTCATGTTTGGGTAGCGGGCATATTGCAGCACCCTCTACAGCCCTGCAATACTTCATCCACACACCTTAATTTCAGTTGACAATGTCACCAATGTAGCTTACAACACAGCAGCAAGCCCATTGCTTCTCATGGCCCGCACAGAAATCAGCGGGCATTTCTTTTTTACAAACAAAGCAAACATACTGGATTCCTGGACAAAATTTTGTTTCCATACATCTCTGTACTGTCACAGGCTTTTCTTTTTCTTTTTAAATCAGCTCATAGCTGCTGCAAGGTGGAGAAAACAGTATGCACAGCAGGGTCAAAAATAACTGCAGAGATTATCACAGTACCACTTTCATCAAGTGCCAAGCCAGAAACAGCTGCAGTAATTACTAGTTATACCCTAAACCTGTTTTCCCTCAACACCCAGGTAATATATAACCTAGACCACCACTCACTTCACATTCCGACTTAGGGTACACGGCACAAGTATTACCATAGTGAATTAAAATGATTTGGTAACATTTCTTTATTAGTCTTGTTCTAAAAGCAGCATTTAACATGATTTATTTTGCAAAAGAAAGATGAGGCACTTAACCTTACCAAAACCACAGATAACCCCACATGAAAAAACTACTGTGTACATGAGAAATTCATATCTGCAATCTCAACACACAAGTATGAGAAGCAGCAGGAATTATTCCTCACCTTGATCCTGCTGACAGCTTCCTGTGCCTGCATCATTCTCACATTCTTGGAGGGAGTTTTATCAGAGAGGAGTTGAGTCGAGCCAAGGTAATTGGCAGCAAAAATTATTCCATCGATTAAGTCTTCAGGATCGCAAGGTCCAGGAACTGTAACACAGGAAAGCTGTCACTGAAGAAAATCATGCTGAACCATGGCAAAACAGCTGCACTCTGACAACTGGAGCCAGCACCTGATGGCTGCAAATCCTCCCCTGAAATACTTCAGTTTAGCATGATGATATGGCAACCAGTACTTTCAAAGGTACAAAACACCAAGCAAACATTCTCAACATCTCTCCAGCAAAAGCTGTAATTGCTAATCCAGCCTGTCCCTTGCAATAGCTCATTCTTTTTTGAGCAGGGATCACCCTGGAGCAAAATAATCTCTGTGGGTTTTCATTGTTGTCAAGGGACAGACACAGTTACTCAGCTTGCCCTTCGCCCGCCAAAACCAGCCTTGCAATTCTCAGACCAGCAGTCACAAGCAGGAAGAGGAAGGGTGCAATTTAATAAGAGCCATCAGCCACTTGCTCACTTGTGTGTAGCTGCAGTTAGTACTACGGGCAGAGGAACCTCCTCGGGAATGCTTTACAGGTACAACACATCTCCCCTTTCCAAGAATACCGATTGCCTGAACAAGCGAAGTACTTCTATAACACAGACCTTTAAAAATCATTCTCATTGTCAACAAGGATATGAAGGTAAAGTACAGAGTTAATAAAAATTTTGTTAAATACATGGAGCGTGGGCTCTCCTGATGGCAAAACAACTCTCTTAATCCCACAGATTCCTAATGGTAAGACTGCCATCAACTTCTGTGGAAAGTCAGAGGGTTCAGTGCCTAACAATGCCAATCCTTACAAAGCAGCATTTATGGTCTGCAAGTGTTTTGGTGTTTGGTGATTATATCTAAAAATTGTATATGTAAAAATGTTCTGGTTTAACACCTTGCTACATGTTAAAATTGTCATGCTCCAAAACGGAGGCTGGTTAATATAAGAAGCTTCCTGTTTTCTTACAAGTGAGGAAAAAGAACTAACTTTCAAGAGAAGTGAAAATGCAAATCACCTTAAAGAATGCTAATGGTAAAAGTGTCCACATTTTATCACCAAAACCCCCTGTTTCTAGGTTTTCTTTTTTTCGTCTAAGAACTAAGCAAAAACCCTACAATATCAGAATGGAGTTTCATTATTTCAGTGGGTGCCTTGAGATATAAGGTGATCGGGCTTAAATTTAGTGTTACTTAGAATGCCAATTTTGTTCTACTTAGAAGAGATTAACAACCAGTCAGAATGAGCATGGGTAACTTTGGCCCCAGAAAAATGCAAGCCATTATTAAGATCAAAATAACACAAGAAAGAGAGGTAGATTAGTATCACACTGAAACTATACAAACAGACAGAAGTAGATGTATAAATCTTACAAGCAAGCTTGTCTCCTTTATTTTCTTTAAGCATGAAAATTCATGACTAGTAATTTTGAGATGTTCATCTTCAGTGTGCAGAACTGTTCAGATACTATGGATTGGGAAAATGCTCAAAATGAACTAGTCACTTTCAAGCACATGACCCATAGAAATGGAACTTTTTCCTTAGGTAAATTTATGCATCTGGAAGTACCATATATTTGCACACTCTTCCAGTCCTGAAACCATACAGCATCTTAAGTGTTGCTATTTGTTACTCTACATGTTAAGGCCTTTTCACCACTTCCACTACTTCACTATAAAGCATACAAAACCATTTACCATACAATTTCTGATCAAAACAAAAATCAAAAATCTAGACTGACAAAGGTGTACATAAGACTCCCAAAAGGAAGCACATAAAAACAAACAAAAAAAAAGTCTGTGCTCCATTTTCACCAGAAGTGAGCACACAGACAGCACTGCTTTCTATAAGAATGCCTCCATTTATTACCTCTGACAATTAAATTATTATCTGAACGGAAGTGTAGCATTAGAACGGAAGTGTAGCATAGAACAGAAGAAAAGTTAGCAAGCTTTTCTTGTACTGCTAGTGCATAAGAATGGAAAATTTGTTTTTTAAGGAATTTTGCACTGGACCAACATCTAAGAAAATTTTAGTCTAGAGTTATTGCTTTTGTTTTGTTTTTATTTAAGGAGAGGAATATTTGAGATAGCCCTTGATAGATAGAGGTACCACTAACAGACGAATTTCAGTTCTAAGAGAGATCCTTCATTGCTGCAGATTTCCAAAGGTCAGCCAGTTTCAAAGCAATATATGAAATTTACATTAGTTGACATTGTCTAAAATATTCAGCTCATACACTGAAGACTAAACCAAGGATCAATTTGTAGGCTAAAAAGAATGATCACACTATTATTTAAACACAGCACACTGTAAAGCAATCCAAGGAGTTCCAAGACAGTCTAAATGATGTATCACATAATCTGTATTTCTGGCATTTCATCAAGCATATGGAACAACTGCTGTCAGGGGAGGAAAAAAACCAAAAACAAATGAAACTTCTAATTTTCTGCTTCTGTCATGCTCTCATAACAAAGTAATTGCATTTTGCAACATGGATGCAGACTCATACAAAAGGTAACAGAAATTCATGTAGCAGGTAACTTGCTTTTTCACATTGTTCTGAAAAAACTCAGCACTAGTACAAGTGCAACCTTAAGTCTAAGACAGGAAGTACTAATTAATTAGAGGAGAAGTAGCTGTAAAGCAGTGGAGATTTCCTATGGCAGGCCTGCCTATTAATCCAATTAATTCAGTTCTGCTAATTAATCCAACTGAGATTGGATTGAGCCTGCCATTTGGAATCAGTGCTGGAGAGAGCACTACACTCTTCTTGTCTAACATATTTTCCTTGCCCACACACAAGTGTAAATACCATTAAAAAAAAGGGTAGCGTTTTAAGTGACATTGATTAAAAAAAAGCAGAACTGAGACAGAAATTATGAATGAAACATTAAAAAAGTAAAACCTCCATGCTTCTGAACTTCTGAAAAAGCATAGTAGGATTTAGCTCAGGTTTCTCACTGGACACAATTTAATCTAAATGAGTATATACCCAACCTTCACAGCTTTTCTATTCAGCAAACAAAAATAAAACTTTATACATTACAAACATTGGAGTGTTTTAGGTAGGAAAAAGCATTCAGCAATTGTAGAACTATCTTACCTTCAACATAGGTTGGAAATGAAGCCAAGCTTTTTCTGGACTGTAATTAAGAGAAAAAAAGGATTTCAAACAGAACAGAACATGTACAAATATGCACTGAAAATTTCTGCATGCCAAAAAAAAAATAAATAAGTCACTCATTAGCAGAAGATCACCATTTAATAAGATTTATTATCGTATTTATTATTTTCAAACTCTTAAGAATCTACTAAAGTTGAATTCAATATATTCCATTTGTGTCTTTATCTATCTGTCAACATACAAGGCCCAGTTTTCAGTTACTTGTTGTTCAGTAGTATATTAACTGTCTACCAACAAGTGCTCTACTTTTACTAATCAAGCAGTATGCAGGAAAATATATCACATCTCAAAGACACTGGATCTTCCAACTACAAATAAATACATGCAGGAATATATAAAATTACACTATACTGTTATTATTCATGGCTGAAACCATCAGCCTAGTCAGTTACTCATTAACAAAATTCTGTTGTTCATTAGGATTGTTCTTAGATGTATCCCTCACATTAATACAGCCTACAAAGAGCTTTCTAAATTTTAACAGGTTAGGTAGCAACCTGTATTCTGTGCGGTAACTGAGTTCCCTAACACCTCACCACCAACTATCTTTATACTGTATCAAGCACAAAACCACACCTGGTATTTCATAAAAGGTGAACAAATAAAAAAATAATCCTGACTTGTACATGTAAATACACAATCTAAAGTAAGACCTTACTTCCAACTTCAATGTTATGTGAAAGACTCAGTGGCTAACACTTCAAACACCTCAAAGCTACAACTTCCAGTGAGTAAGACTCACCATTTTGTTATGAAGAATAACATAAAACACATAGGAAAAATAATCAAAGAAAATTCTCTGTGACAATATATAGATTGCAATAGGTATATTGAAATATCTGCTGCTATCATATGTGTTGCAGGTAAGAATTTTGGATAGTCCAAGAACTACAAAACTTTAATGGATTTATAATCAATTGTACTGGCAGTAACTCCCCCAATAACTGCTTAATATATTTTTATTAAAGGAAAATCTATGTATTTATCAGTGTTTGCCATTGCAACAAAAAGAAAACAGATGTGTCAAGTAATATTCTTCTCATATGATGATTTCTCAGGATGATTCTCATCTTGCTATAAAATAAAACAACTTTTGAATAAAAACAAAGGGTGCGTGACACAGCAGAGCCTGTGCAGCCTTTAAGTACTTGCTGTTCCTTATGAAAATGACTAAGCTGTACTGCAAAACCAAGAAAGCTCTCCATCAGAGATTGTACTAGTATAAATAAAGATGTGAATAAACAACAATCTCCCACTGCCAAAGCATTTAAGCTGCTGTGAGGACACCGATATGCCTTTTCAGGTCTCTGGCTCTTTCATCTCTTCAGATGAATGTTTTTACTGGACCACCTATCCATACAGACTTCAACAACTGGTTGTAATTGCTGCTGATGTCGTGCTATGAAGGAAATTCAACCACTGAACTCTGACAGGCCTAGAGGACAAATCCTCTACACATCAGAGACAGCTCATGTCATCTGCTTTCCAAAGTACTTTAATTTTTTTAAATAGAGTGAATAAAGTCTGTAATTACCGATTTGGAAATTCTTCAGCAACCTGACTACCTGATGGAACTTCTTTTCAGGATAGAGTGGTGTAAACTGTCATCATGTATCTTGCAAAAACTCACACAGAAAACTAAGGGGTTTTTGTTCATTACCCAAGTTGAAAAACATTTTACTAAGACCAGAAGAATAATAAACTAGCAGGTAAAGTTACCAATAAGAGGAAACCTACCCCTTTTAATTTTACATAGCCATGAATAATAAAATATCAAGATCATTAATATTGCATTACTCTTGTTAATCTTGTTGCCACCTAGCAATATAAAATTTATATTTAAAAAAAAGGTTTTACTAAGACCTAAAAGTCATTCCCAGAAATCATGAGACTGCTTTATCACTGTTGTTCTTGCACTGCAAGTACTAAAGCAGGCATTATTGCTCACCTGAGGGAAACAAACAACCTGACACATTCTAGCGTGAAACCTGGTTTACGACCTCTGCCATTACATGTAAGCACATCCTAGCACTGAAATGAGTAGCATCTTGTTTGTTTTCTTCCTTTGCGTATGCTTATTGACATCTAAAAATCGCTAAAAGTGAGCATATATATGAAGTGACAGAATCTCTACTGCAGAAAGCTAAAGGCTTTAACAAGCCAACAAAATAGCAGATGAAAAGGTAATGGTATACTCCACTCTTGAAGGCTTTAGCAATCTTAAGTCTGTTGAAACCTTTCATTTCTTTTAAATGCAGATGTAGACTGGCACAACTACATATATGTTACAAGCTTTTTTAGGCTTTGATCATAACAAAAGACAAAGAATAGATTTCTCATTGGTGTTTCAATTTTAACCAGTATTTCCAGTTACAGTAGATCCATTTTTTTCATTGTGGAAGGTAACCTATGCCTTGCTATCAGTAACAATATGGTATCTTTTTAGACTACAGTTTCTACGTTTTTTTTGAAGTTACAAAAACAAAAAGCAAATAAATCAAATGTTTGTGAATTTTTTTGTTTATTTGCATTGGTATAGAAGGTCTGACTGTACTTTTTATGTCAAATTATTTTCTTTTCTCACTGCAAGAAGCTCTAATCACATTTTCTCCTTTTGTGTTGGTAGAACTACTGCAGTGTAAAAAGCTGTCAGGTGAGGAAAAAAAAAAAAGTAACTAAGTAAGTATATAGCTTTATTTTGAGAAGCCAGGAGTCAGGAACTGAATTCTGAATTCTGACTGTGAATCACTGGCAGGTCAGTTTCTACAATGACAAAATACTAAGCAGCATAAATTACTAGCTAATTATCATTATTTAAGCAAGTTTTTCATCTGGCTGAGAAACAGTCTTTTCTTTGTGGGAAGACTTCATGCAACGAAAAATGAAAAGAGCTTCCTTCTATTTTCTGTAATACAGAGGTGAAGTTGGCTGTTTGGTAAATCAATACCTCCTAGCTTGTTAAATAAATTTAGTGCCAGCTGAACACAGAGTTAAAAATGCCATGATAAACAGTCTTAAGTACATTAGAAATTCAGTCACACAGACAGGCAAACATAGTGAAAGGAGGTACAAATCAGCTTTTCAAGTTTGTTGCAATTTTGGAAGAAGAAAAGTGATTGCACAAGGAGAAAAGGAAAATAAAAAGGCATATGAAACACATACAAGACTGTGGCTTTTAAAAAGATTTCACTCTACCTCTTTGTTAGTGGAGGCCTCTGCTGTACTGCAGACATCCTGGTGATGTTGCCTACTTGACGATTCAGCACCGCGAGGAGAAGAGGAATCTGGAGATGGAGACTAGACATGGCAAGAAAATTAAATAATAATCTGAGTGGCTGATGTAGAAATTGCTCTTTATTATTTTCCTCTAACTTGGCAGTGAAAACAAGAGATGAGGATGGGGGGAGGGGGGGGGGGG